TTTACACCAAGATAAACACGTCACCATTAAACTCAATGTGTATTCCTATATTGCCTAAACTGGGAGAGAAGGGGGAACACTACAAAGTCACTTTTTTGTGTATTGGTGTATTTTACACCAAGATAAACACGTCACCATTAAACTCAATGTGTATTCCTATATTGCCTAAACTGGGAGACCATCTAAACTTGTATTGCAACAGTTTATTCCATTATATATTTTTTTCCGTTTCATTTTAAGCACTTGTTATGTAAATGGTTTAGTAACTGATTAGTCGCGACCTTATATATTTTCATTATTTTCCGCTGGCATACGCACGATACTTCGGGTGGTCTCTAAATATCAATCAAGATCGGGGGCTAGAGAAGGCCAAAAGTAGAGACTAGGAAAACAACTATTTCCGCGTTGTTCCCAAAATCTGGATGGAAGCGGCCATGAAAGCTCCACGCAGGAGCTTTTTCCAAACATTTGCTTTTTCCAAACGTAAAATTGTATCATGAAGCCATGAGATCACTGTTCTAGGTCCCTAAGATGTTTCTATATATACACACACAAACCTTTAAAAGTCTCAACAGCGGCTTATTTTTTTTAAAAAAATGATTTAATACTGAAGAAAGGGGGGTCCTACGTTAAGTGCCCTTTGGTGAGTGTAATGGGATCCTAATTTTACATTAAATGTAGAAAATGCAGAGTTTGAATAATCCCGCCGGATGCGGCGATTTGTTAAGATTGCCTCCCCATTCTCACGCTTTTATAAATTAAGCGGTGGGGGCTTGGAATGTAACAGCTGAAGCCTTCTGTATAGTAACAGGTGGCTTTTTTAAATCTGCCCGGATAAAGCAATATTCGCGATCATAGGCAAACCCTGGGGCAGGTAAGGGCTAGGCCCCAGGATGCTTTGGATCTGAAAAGGAAAAAAAAAACTTATTTGACACCAAGACTCAGCTCCTTACTTGAAATTGTAGGTGGCTCTGAAAAGAGCCTTTGGGTTTGAAATTCAATGTTCCTTTTCTCCAGAGCAATTTCTATTTTCCTTTCGCTTTGTGGCTTTCCGTCTTCTTGGGCAAAAGGACCGCTTGGATATTGGGCAACACGCCCCCTTGGGCGATGGTCACTTTCCCCAGGAGTTTGTTGAGCTCTTCGTCGTTGCGAATGGCGAGCTGCAGGTGACGGGGGATGATGCGGGTCTTCTTGTTATCCCGAGCAGCGTTGCCGGCCAACTCCAGGATTTCCGCCGTGAGATATTCCAGCACCGCCGCCAGGTAGACGGGAGCGCCGGCGCCCACCCGCTCGGCGTAGTTCCCTTTGCGCAGCAGGCGGTGGACACGACCGACCGGGAACTGGAGTCCGGCACGGGAAGAACGAGACTTGGCCTTGGCTCTCGCCTTGCCCCCTTGCTTGCCGCGACCAGACATGCTTTTTAAAGGAGTTGCTGTCTCTCTGGCGATCTCAAAGCTATTTCCTTCACTTTGGGGCTTGAAGTGATGAGGGACAATTTATGCCAGCCTCACCGTTTGAAAGCGGCACTTCTCATTGGCTGGCTGTGATGCCCATGCGCTTCAGCCAATGCAAAAGGAGTTTCTCGCCAGGACCAATTGAACAGAGAAACATTGCTTTTCCTCCAGTAGAAAAGAGGAAGCGAGGCCC